ACTGCAAAACCTGAGCTGGTGCAGGAACTCAAGTACCAGATGCCACGCACTGCCTGAGTTCAGGACCTACTGGAATCCACTAAGGAAAGAGGCCATTTTTGTTAAGGGCAGGCTCTGCTCAAGGAGGAGTGGGTGGGTGGCTTCCCCAAGCCCTGCCCCTCTTTCCCACTCTTAAAATTTCTCCTACATAAAGACACACAAAAAAATGTTTGAATGGGGTTGAGACAAGGAGGGGACTGGCATCTATTCCAGGGCAGATGCTGGGTCTAGGCTCAAAACTTCTGTGAGAGGTATGGATGCTCACAGCAATTAATCAAACAGCAGACTCCTTTCTGCTCATGGCCCTCTACCCTACATGGTGTGGCCTCTGCATAACTGTCCAGCTTCATCACCTGCCACTTCCCTTTTCCCTCCTGTGACACTGACCACTATTCAGTTCCTTCAAATACTCCACTCCAAGTTCTCCCCTGTACCACAGGACCTCTGCACATACCACCTCCCTTCCTGAAACATTCTGGTCTCATTTTAAATGCATCACCACTGAACTCCATCCCCAGCACCTCCTTTTATAAAAATTTTATTTTGAAAGGTCTTCCCACACCACTCTAGTCACTAAGTCAGTTTACTTTCACAGCATGTTGGCAACCTTTATCTATTTGATTGTGTGATTCACTTTCTGACTCTCCCACAGATTCCTAGCTCCTTAAGGTAAGCACCCTGTCTGTTTTGTTCACTGCAGTATCCAGGACTCAGCACAGTGCCATATACTCAATACATATGTTACTGAGTAACTCCTTTGACAGAGGACAGCTGGGAGTCGGAGTGATGGCATGTCCTAGGTCAGAGTGCTAGAGAGCCCGAGGGCCAACAATGGAAACCAGGCCTGATTCCCAATTCTGTACTCTCTGTGCAGGGGCTGGACCCACGCTTGGGGGCAGCTTCTCTTCACCACCCTCATGTGCCCCAGCCCACTTGCCCATGTGTCTGTAGGCAGGCAGAGATCAGGGTGAAGCAGGTGCAAAAAACTGAAGGGGACATCAAAAAATAGCCACCAAGATAAATACCATTAAAACACATCATGGGGGCCGGGGATTTAGCTCAGTGGTTCTGCCACCTGCCTCGCAAGTGCAAGGTCCTGAGTTCGATCCCCGGTCTGGGGAAAAAAAAAAAATCCAAATTCACCAAATTCAGGTCATATAACCAGACCCATTCAGATTTATCCCAGGGATGAAAGGATGGTTCCATGTACATAAATCAATAAGTATAATACACTGTATTGACAGAGTCAAAGATAAAAACCATATAATCATCTCAATAGATGCAGAACAAGCATTTGACAAAATTCAACACCCATTCATGATAAAAAAAAAAACCCTGCAGAAAATTGTAATAGATGGTCTTTATCTGAATCTGATAAAGGCTATCTATGAAAAACCAACAGCCAACATCATACTAAATGGTGAAAAACTGAAAACCTTCATACTAAAATCAGGAACAAAACAAGGAAGTCCACTATCAACACTCCTGTTCAATATAGTTTTGGAAACAACTGCCACAGAAATTAGAAAAGAGAAAGAAAGAAAAGCAATAAAGATAGGAAAGGAAGAAGTTAAACTGTCTTTATTTGCTGAAGATATGTTACTGTACATAGAAGACCCAAAAAACTCTGCCAAAAGACTTCTAGACTTAACTGACAGACTCAGTAGCGTAGCTGGATACAAGGTAAACATTCAAAAATCAATAGCCTTCTTCTATATAAATGACAAACTCATTGAGGGAGAAATTAGAGAAACAATCCCTTTCACAATAGCATCTAAAAAATGAAATATCTAGGAATCAATCTAACAAAGGAAGCAAAAAACATCTACATCGAGAACTGCAACACTCTGAAAAAAGAGATCAAAGAGATATAAGAAAATGGAAAGACATCCCTTATTCCTGGGTAGGAAGAACCAATATAGAAAAAACAGCCATACTTCAAAAACTGCAATACAGACTCAATGCAATCCCAACTGAAATCTCAAAAGTGTATTTCACAGAACTAGAGAAAACAATCCAAAAATTCATTTGGAACCAACCAGAAGAGACCTAGAATAGCAAAAGCAATTCTAGGCAACAGAGACATGGAAAGGAGTATCACAGTCACCAACTTGAAACTATAGTACAAAGCCACTATGTTAAAATCAGCATGGTACTGGCAAAGAGACAGACTTGATGATCAGTGGAATAGATTAGAAGATGCAGAAACAAGTCCAGACATACTCACCTACCTCATCATTGACAAAGGAGATAACCAATCTCACTGGAGGAAAGATAGCCTCTCTAATAAATGGCATTGGAAAACCTGGATTTCAACTTGCCAAAGATTAAAACTAGATCCCTATCTTTCACCACGCACTAAACTAAAATCCAAGTGGGTTAAAGATCTAAATATTAAAACAAAAACACTAAACATGTTGGAAGATAAGCTAGGTAGAATTCTTGAAGACAATAGCATAAGAAAAGACGACTTTATGAAAAAATCCTGAATAGCACGGAAACTAGCACAAAGAATCAACAATTGGCATCTCATTTTTAAAAAACGCTTCTGCACTGCAAGAGAAACCAACAGAGGCAAAAGACAACCTACAATGTGAGAAACATTTTTACCAGCTGTTCCTCAGACAAAGGTCTACTATCTAGAGTATATAAAGAACTCAAAAAAATCAGGCCCCCCCAAATATAAAGACCCAATTCAAAAATGGGCATCTGAAATGAACAGACATTTCTCAAACAAGTAAAAGCAGCAAATAAATATATGAAAAAATGTTCTGGCTGGGGATTTATTTAGCTCAGTGGTGCCGCTGCCTGCCTTGCAAGCACAAGAGCCTGAGTTCAATCCCTGGTACCAAAAAAAAAAAAGTTCAGCATCACTGGTCATTCAAGAAATGCAGATGAAAACAACACTGAGATTCCATCTCACCCCAGAAAGAATGGCTGCTATCAAGAAATCAACCAATAACAAATGCTGGTGGGGCTGTGGGGAGAAAGGAACCCTTCTCCATTGTTGGTGGGAGTGCAGACTGGTGCAATCATTATGGAAATCAATAGGAGAAACCTCAAAAAACTAGGATTTGAGGTCCCACATGACCCAGCTATCCCTTTGCTGGGTATCTTCCCAAAATAATTAAAAGTCATGCCACAGTGATATATGTGCACCCATGTTTATCATGGCACAGTTTGTAATAGCTAAAACTTGGAAACAGCCCAATTGCCTATCAACTGGAGACTGGATAAAGATGTGATTTTTTGAAAAGATAAAATGGAGTACTACTCAGCCATAAAGAATGAGAAACTAGAGACATTTATAGCTAAGTGGATGCACACTGAGGACACTAAGTGAAATTAATATGACACATATGTAAATACCGTATTGTTTCTCTGGTGTGACAAACTAAAAGTGTAAATAAGGATCAAATATAATTGGTTTTGTGTAATAGGAAGAAAAGGTCTAAAGGTGTAGGGGAAGCGGGAGGGGTAGAGGAAAGGTTAAGAAGGGAAAAGAAAAAATAATGGAAATAAAGTCTTTGTAAATAGGGAAGGGTGGAGGGGGTGAAAGCAGGATAAGGAATGGGGAAAAAATAAGAACGAAGATACGTCATGTAAAGGTACAAGATCCCAATGATAATGTAACTGTATTGTATACTTAAAATGTACCAATAAAAAAATATATTAAAAAAACCAAAATTCATGCAAAAAAATTCATGGGCAAAATACCTACACTGCATTATCAAGACAGAGTCCAGCTGTGCACTCGGAGGACCCAGTCTTGGAGTTCACCCTAATGCCAGCCCTATCAAATCCTGTCTTTATCCTAACAGCTGATATTCTGTTCATGAATTTATTTGCATTCATTGCATATGAGTCTTGTCTTCTTAAGGAGGAGATTTATACCAGTTATAGCATTTTACTGCTAAACTAGATCCCCGCCCCTTTGTTTCATTTTGAGATAGGATCTCAGTAGTTGTCCTCAAACTTGTGCTCAGTCTCTGATAGCTTGGATTATATGGTGAGCACCACCATGCCCACCTTATTTTGTTTACCGAGTTTTGTATTTTTGGTGGGGGTTGGGGAGACAGGGGATCAGACCCAAGGCCTTGCTCTACTAAGCTGTACCCCAATCCTGACTGCTGAGTTTTTATGGTCCCTTAAATGTTATGCCCGAGCCAAGACTCAGGCCAGCCCTGGCTTGGCTCATTCAGTCAGTGGTCAGTGTCCCTGGTTCCCAAAGGAATCTGCCTGAGGACCTGGGCAGCACCAGCTGTCACACTGGTAATGTGCTCTAGGACCCCAGCATGGTGGTCCAGTCTCAAAGGCTGGTCACCCACTGCTGTCAGCTGGATACTGGGGGTACCTGTCGTGGGGGCTTCCACCTTCCCCCTGAAAGGCTAAGGGGAATGTCCCAGCCTCCCAGCCCCTCCGTGGAGGGAGGTGTGGGCTGTTCCTTGACACTCAGACGCCCTGCTGTGGGACAGGCTAAGAGAGGCCTCTGAGCCACACACCTCCCTGCCACCTTCCCCTTCCTCTGGTACCAGAGATTGAACTCAGGACCTTACTCTTGCCAGCAAGCACAGTGCCACTGAGCTATATTCCCAGTCCTGTCACCTCTCCCTTCCTACCAGGGGAGGAGGAGGGGGAGGAGGAAGAGGAGCAGGAGAGCAGAGCACAGAGGACACACTGTGGGCTCTTCTTCCCCGTTTCTCCTGGTAGCAGCATCTCCGACTTGGAGGCACCACTACAACTTCCTTCTTCCTTGCCCTCTTAGTACAGAGCCAGCAGGGAGGAAAGCAGAGCCCCGAGAGATGGAGAAGGGCTCCTCACGGCACACACATCCTGATAGGCCGCCTGGACGTTCCCGCAGCCCCGTGCTGCGAGGAGACACTGGGCTGGGCTTTCCTTCCATCCCTTGCACCTGAGGGGCCCTAACACGCTTAGAAGCCCTGCCCAGCCAATACAGTCACCTCCTTCTTCATCAGTCTGAGCTGCTCTTGGAACTTGGCATAGTCCCGCTCTTGCTCAAGGCGGATCCGCTTGGCTTCCTCCCGGCGCCGCACGGCATGGTCTTGCTCCATCTTCTCCACCTGCTGCTTCTGCTGCCGCTCCAGGTTCTCCAGCTCTGTGTCAAAGAATTTCTTCTTGGCCTGGAAGGAACAAAAATTCAGAGAAATTCAGCAAAGCCACTTTCCATCTGGGATGATGGAGAGAGATCAGAGCTTGTACTGAGACCTGGGACAAATCACTTCTCTGAGTCTGCCTTTCCTCATCTGCACAGAGGAGACTGGACCATTGACCCTGACGGTTGGTACCTGGCATGATTTCCTCCTAGAAATCTTCCTCTGTGACTCAGAAGATTGCTGTGACCGTCACACTGTGCTTACAAGTCCCTGCCTGATGAGATGGGGAGACCCCGGGAACCTGGAAATAGTTGTGGCTCACTCTCCACAGCCTCGATCCTCCCCGCTTCTGCAACTTCCACCAAAAGAAAAGAGGCAGAAGCCCTCCAGGTCCCACTATTCCCCACACTCACGTTGATTTCTTGTTCAAAACGTTTGTGCATCTGTTCCACCTGCAGCTCATGCTTGTTGCTCAGCTGGGTCTGATTCCGATGCTCTTCTTTCTGGAGCAGCCGAAGCTCTCGGAGCTCCTGGCGCCTGAAGGATGAAAGGATGCACAGAGCTCATAGGGAGACTGTCCCCCTGGGATCACAGTATCCACAGCGTGGGCCACTGAGGGCCGCATTGGGAAACAGAACTACAGACGTCTTAGGCAGAGGCATGACTGGAACTCGGGCTTCAGTGGACGTTCACTGACAAATACAACATGAACAACCCCAATCCATAGAGTGCTTATGGGTCAGGAAGAGGAGGGGGAACCTTCCCAAAAGAGCAGTACCAAACATGAACAGACATGGAAGAAAAAACAAAAAGAAAACGTTAAATTATCCACATGGGTAGGAAGTGCAAGTTAAAAAGAAATGACATTTGGTCCAGGGATTTGGCTCAGTGGTTCCACCACCTGCCTCGCAAGCACGAGGACCTGAATTTGATCCCTGGTACCAAAAGAAGAAATGATATTTACATGAACTCAAGACAGTAGAGGGGAAATCGATACTTTCGTGTACCGATGATAGACATAAATCAGTACAGTTCTGGAGGACAGTGCTTTCTAACATAACAGCCCACTTCTGAATTGATTAAGAATGTGTGTTGCAATATTATTGAGATACGCTGGTCCCTCCGCATCCTCTAGGCCTCTCCCCAGATACTAAAACGCACAGACGCTCAAGTCCCTTATATAGAATGGTGTAGCACTGCCTAGAACCCACACGATCCTCTATATACCGTAAGTCATCTGTAGGTGATTTATAATACCTGTACGATGCAAATACTATATAAACAATTGCCATTAGGCAATAATGACAGGAAAAAGGTTTCTACGTGTTCGGTGCAGGTGTCATTCCCCTAATATTTTCAATTGGTGATTGGATGAATCCACAGATGTGAAATCCAGGGATACAGGTGTGTCAGGGGAAGGGGGCTGACTATAGTACTAAGTTATAAACAAGTGTCTGCCAATATAGATCTAATTCAATAAAATATACCTATATGATGAAATTATATATAACCATGAAAACATCAAGTTTTAGAAAACATAATCTTATAGGGGAAAACATCTATGAAAAATAAAAAGCTCATTAGATGAGACATAGAAAGATCGCTAAGTGAAAAAAGAGGCCGAAGAGTGGTACAGTGGTCCCTGCCTGTCCCCACAGTCACCTGGGAGCCAGATTCCAAGTCTGAGCCCAGCCCAGGCAACTTAGAGGCTCAAGAGGACCCTTTCTCGAGATAAAATACTTTTTAAAAAGGGGTAGTGATGTAGTTCAGTGTGAAGACCTTGGGTTCAATTTCTAGTACTGCCAAAAACCCAAAAACCAAACAAACAGAAAAAAGGGGAAGGGGAACTACACAACTGGACACCTGGCAGAAAAGATTTTTTTCACTTTCTAAAAAAGTTTTTGAACCATGACATTTTAAAAATACAATAAATATTTAACCTAAGCCAGAAGGTACACCTTGCTTTTGTAACATATATGCTTTTGTGTTTGTGTGTGTGTGTGCGTTTACTCAGAGAAAAGACCAGAAAGCAGGCGCACAGATGTTGATTAACCATGCTTCTTTCCAGGGAGGTCCAGCAAACACTGATACACGTCATTCATGTAGTAAAATAATAAAATGCTACAGGAAAACCTTGTGTATCCTGACTATGAGCTGTGTGCTCCCTGGTGGCCTCATGGGGCTGGGGCACACGAGACCTGTACCATATTATGGCCTGGCCTCCACGGCCTGCATGTGGTGGTTTTGCACGTGGCCTGCCCCCCCCCCCCACAGCCAACAGCCATGTGAGAAGTCAGCATGCAGTGTGGCTGGGCACATTCTCTGGGGCCAGACGGACCTTGTTTGAATCTCAGCTCTGTTGACTTTCCAGCAAGAGCCTGTGAGTCTTTGCAGAGTGTAAAATGAGGCAAATAATCTGTACCTCTCGGGCTTCTGGTGTGTTACATGAGATGCTGCGTGGACAGGGCCTGCCTCGCACTTGACAAACAGTCTATACATGGCAAGTGCTCCAGCAATAACGAAGTGGAAGATGCAAGGGCTTCCAGTGCATTTGGGAAACGCCAGGGAGGCTTTCCAGTCACGTAAGGAATTCTTTCTGAGCATGAATTTTTCTGGAAACCAAGAGGGTCAAGGTGATTTTCTAGAGTTAAAAAAATGAAAATCCCGATTTAAGGAAACAAAGGTTCAAACACAGTACGACAGAGAGAAGTGGCAGCTGGTTCTCACAGTGGCCTGATGCCAGAGGAAGGAAGGAGCGGGAGGCCCTCGCCACTCCGTGCACTGCTCCTAATCTGACAGAAGTGCTGAGGTCCAGGTGTGCCCCAGGCATGATGGCGCCATCCATGCTGCTGCAGCCTTCGGCCGGGATGCCTGACCCTCAGACCACAGCAGGCAAACACTCTTCCTCCTTGCAGCCTCCCCTTCCACACCTGAGTGGCACCTGGAGGCTCTTTTCAGGAGGGTGAGGGTTCGCTACCAGGCCAGAGCATGTTGGTTCTCTGAGGAGCTTGGCTGCCTGGAAGCTTCAATCCAAGGGACAGGAACTGTGGCGGAAACCCAGCCGTGGCAGTCTGAAGCTTGGAGAGTCCAGGGATGTCATCTAGCAAGATCCCCCAGCCTCTCCAACTCATACAGATAAGAACAGTGTATGTGTGTCTGTGGGTGTGTGAACTCACACGGGTGCACAGAAATGCTGCAAAGAGACTCATCCTCCTGGCTCCAAGATGGGGAAGCAGCCCCTGCCCTGTTGCCAAAAGATCCCAAACTCTTCCTATTGCACTCTAAAATGTTTATGTTTTTAAAACATATGAAGGTGTCCACTAAGCTGGACATTTCCTTCAAACCAGTAATGAATTCAGCCTGCAAAGGTCTGGCCTCCAGGGAGCTCCATGCCTCTGAGTATGTCTAACTGCTCACTCCGCCATCTTCACGAGCACCCCTTGGCAGCCACACGGTCCAGTGGGAACCTGCAGGAATTCTCAGACACACATGCCTAGGCAGCCTCTCAGCTCCACCCCTTTCCACCTGGGAGACCCAAGGCATGTGACTCATATTTACACAATGTGGAAACAGGGTCTCCATGTCGTGGGCTCTTAGGGGCACCAAGTAACTGAAAACTTCAAAGGTAGTTTCAGGCCAATAGCTTTGCCTCCCACCTCATCCCTCAGTCCAACCCTCGTCAGCCAAACTAGGTTTGCCTCCGACCCCCTCTGACCTGTTGTATCCGACCCACACCCCCCACCACCATTCCAACTTGAATCTAGAGCCTGACTGTCCCACATGGGGTGGCCCCATCTCCCTGCCCCACTCTTATCACCTCTACAGCAGCCCAAGCAACCTTCCGAAGGGACGTGAGAGTTGGTCACTCCCTAGCCATTTCCCTCCTGCTACATCTGGAACAATGCATCCTTCCACCCTGGCTCACAGGCCCATGTGACCTGGGTCCTGCTAACCCAAAGACCAGATAGCCTCTCTCTCTGACCTCATGCTCCACATTCCAGCCCTGTCCTCTCAGATCCTGAAACAAACTGAGGAGTCACCCCTCAGGACCTCAGCCATTACAGCTCCCACAGCTCTGCACACAGCTGGCTTCTCTAATCCCTTGACCTCAGCTCAGGCTTTTCTCTGGGAGCAACTCCTCCCCCCCAGGTGCTTCCTAGCATATTACTTCGTGTACTACGTCACAGGTAAAACATTTTGTGTCTTGTGTGTTACCAACCTATTAGATGTAAGTTCTACAAGGGCAACAACCTCACTTATATGGGTTACTACCTTATCCCCACGCAGTGGGTGGGCAGACAAATGATAGATAATGGGTAGAGGGTAAGCAGATGGATAGATGGTTAGATGGACAGGTGGGTAGACAATAAGTGGGTGAAGAGCTGTGAACAGTTGAGAAATGGGTGAGTGGATGGATATATGCATGGGTGGATGGATGCATGGATGGGTGAGTGCATGAAAAAGTGGATGGACGGATGGATGGATGGATGACCAGGTGGATAATTGTGTGGACAGATGGGTAGGTAGATGTATAATTAGTTAGGTGGACGGATGGATGGATGAATACGTAAGTGGAACAGATGAGTAGTTGTGTTAATGGGTTATGGCTGCATGAAGAGAAAAGTGGGTGGGTAGACAGAATGGATGAACAGATAGATGAATGGATGGATGGGCAGATGGGTGGATGGAGGAATGTAGGGTCTTAAGCAAAACCAGTTTCCTTTGTCTCCATTATTTTCCCACTTCATACTAGAGACCAACAGTTCTCTCACCCAAAAGACCAATGCCCATCCTCTTTCAGTGCACCCCTACCCTTCCCCACCATCGGTGTCCTTCCCAGGCTTGCCTGAGAAATCTCATCTCCTCGTCCTTCTTCTCGTCTTCACTGATGATCTTGGAAGTGGTGATGCTCACCTCTACACCATCCACCACAAATTTGCGGGTCCGCTTCAGCGTTTTGTTGTGCAGCCTGGAGTCCTGACCAAGGGAAATATGAGGCAAAGCTCAGCAGCTCAGCCAAGAATCCATAGCCAACACAGCCACAGCACTCCTGGCCCTACAGCCATGGCTCAAGCAGGACGTGGCGGTCCACTGTCTCTCTTACCCCAAGCTTCAGGACCTGGGGAACTAAGTGCCAGGGCTCTCAGGGACTGCACTTAGACCCTCTTCACCTTGCTGCCAGCCCTCTCTAGAGCGCAGGTCATGACAGAAAGAGCTGAGTCTTAATCCTCACTCCACCACTTGCTGGCTCTGTGGCCCTGGCCAAGTCCCTGCCAAAGGCTCAGCTTCCTCCATTGTCCATGAAGGATAAAAGCAGTCTGTACCTCCCAAGGAGGTTATACAATGTGACAAGAGCCTATGCAGGGGCACACAGGGCAGGGCCCAGCTCGCGATAAAGTTCAATATTTGCCATTTGATTTTGGCAGACCACAGCCCCTTGTCTGCAGTGCCAAAATCCAAAGAATCCCTGAAAACCAAAGATTGTTTTGGTAAGGGAGTTGGCAGCCGACGTGACCTGGCCTGAACTCTGCGGGCAGCCACACCTGTCAGGAGCTGCTGCAATTACTCTCGTCTTTATCTTTTACTGTGGATAACTACGCATTTCACATGCACTTGCTTAGGGTGCTGCCCCAATGACAGGTGTTCTCAAGGTGGTGCGTACCTTTGGAAGAACATAGTACAGTTCTGGTTCAGGTGAGGGCTGGGGCCTGCACTGGCTTCCTCCTGACCTCTCTCCTGCTTGAGATCTGATGCCCTTCCTGGTGCAGCTGAGCTCAGCCCTTGCATCACAGTCCACCCGAGGGCCTGCCAGCCGCCGTGAGCCGAGTGAGTGGTTCTCATGTCCTAGCTGAGCTCCCTCTTGCGAGTGCGGCCCTGGAGGCAGGTCCTGCTCCCTTCAGGCTGGGCCCCTCAGTCCTGCACGCTTCCCTTAGCACACTTGGCCTGGTGCTCTGGTTGGCAGAGGCAGAGGACCAGCTCACCCCGGGGTGGCAGATCTATGGCCCGAGTGCCGCAGCAGGCACACAGATCCCTCTCTGTGGGCACACGAGCCAAACTGCCCCAGCAGCCAAACAGCAGATAAGTTTTATTTTTCTAAGTTAGAACCTCAGTATTTGGGTTGAAACTGCAGCATTGGTACTTTGCGATAAATAAGTGGGTTTGGGATTGTGGTTTGGGCTCTCGGTTTCTAAAAGGTTCGCCATCACTGAACCAGCCCAACCCTGATCTCTCAGAAGTCCTGCTCTGGGTGGGTCAGCCTTTTTTTAAAGTATCTTTTTAGGATAAGGAAGGACAAGACTCCTGTCTTAAGGAACACAATGCTTCTACATAAAAGCTGCTGCTCACAGTTGGATGACGAGTTGGTAACAACCTACTCTATACAAGAAGAGTTCAAAGGTTTCAGACACAGAGAGATGACAAAGAGATGGACACACTATCCAGACTGCTCAGTGCACACTGAATAGACAGACTGAAGCCCCACACTGCAGCCCACACAGGAGTACAGAAGGCAGCCGAGAAATGCGTTCCAGAGCCAACACCCAGTGGCAGCGTGTCCTGGAAGAGTGGTGCTCCAAGCCGGAGGCACAGTAGGTGACATTACCTTGAGGGACAGTGAGCCTGACTCTCTGTTCAGGGACAGGTCAGCAGACAGGGAGGAGCCATAGTCCATGCTCTCGGAGGTGGACAGGCTGCCAGAGTCCGAGGCCCTCTTGGAAGAGACTGACACCGCCTGGGTGGGGAGCTCCAGGCTGCCATTGACCAGTTTCTCGCTGCCCAAAGTCTCCAGGGCACTGCTGTTGGGCCGGCTCTGGCTTGCCTTTGGGGACCTGGCTGCAGGACTGAGGGCCTCGGCCTGGCCAGTGACTTGTTTCTCCTCAGCCACCTGAATTCTGGCATCCATGGACACTGGCCGGGACTTCCGGAGGGGAACAGGCACAGCTAGGCCATTCTCATCTGCAGGGGCTCCATTCTGGGGGCCGGTGGCTTTGAGGGATCCATCCCCAGAGGGCTGGCTGCAGGTCCCATCCACGCTGTCCTGAGGTTGGCTGGGTGGAAGCAGCGCAGATTCCTGGGGAAGTTTGCTGGCATTGAGGCTCGGGGGATTTGCCTCAGAAGAGTCCTGAGTGTGGTTCCTGAGAGTCTGGGGGGGGAAAAAAAATGAGACCCTGCTGCTGCCTGTCTAAGGGGACAGTAAAAGTCACAGGGGGCTGAAAGTCAGACACCCCCAGCGATGGGTCAGGGCCTGGGTGGGGAGCTCGGGCTGGGACAATAGAGGCGGAGACACTCTAAACCACGGTCTCCACCACTCCCTACTGTCTTGCTGATAACACACTATGCTATGCAAAAACATACAATCTTGTACGTGAGATTACTATTTAGTATGAGGATGGCAGTCTCTGGTCCATCTCCAATCTCAGTTTAAATTAACAGCTACTATTCCTCCTAAGAGCAGAGGCAACCGAGGCCTGCTGGAGGAAGGGCCCAGTGGCTACTCCACTCTTCCCTGTGTGACAATGTGGGAAAATGGACCCTCCTTGCCCTCCTGTGGCCAAGACCCTCTCACTTCTCAAATACTGAAAAAATAAGTAAAATAAATGTCCAGCTTGATAAACGAATTGAGTGCCATGTAGCCACTTTTCAGGTCAGGTGGGGGCATCTTGCTGTGTCCACCACCCCACCCTTCCCAGAGGCAATCTTCCCTCTCCCTTAGGACTGCCCCCACTACGCTCCCTAAGTGTCTGCCTGTGAGGTCAGTCTGCCTGGTATCAACTGGGTTTTAATGGAATCGTATTAAACATTCTTTTGAGTCCTGCCAGCCTCTGTTTTTGACTTTGCATAGGGTGAGTAGCAGAAGTAACTCATCACCCCTTTGGCAGCAGCATCACCAGGATGGCTCCCCTCCTGGAGCCAGATCTGCTGCAGTTCCCCTACTCCGTGTCCACATGTGTCCACCCAGCTAGGAATCTCGCAGACCAGACCTCAACTTTCCCACTCTAAGGTGGGGGCTTGGGGCTCCACGGCTGCCTGGATCCTACTCACCCTCCTCACGAATTTTCTTCATGCTGGGGTGGGGGATCCACATTGGCCTCAGGCTCCCTCCCAGGACCACATTAGACCTGAGAAAGCTGTATCATCCCCAGCAGATGTGGGCCAGTGCTGCCGATGGCAAGTCCAGCCCTGCTTCCCTAGGTATAGGCACAATCTAGACAGCCAGGGCCCGCTGCAAGGAACTTCTCTAAACAGTGTGACCAGGAGCCAGGACAGGCTCCAGCCCAGACACATCTGGCTTGGCTCAGTTGAAATATGCTCCTATTTCTAATTAAATTCAGCAAGTGCTGAAGCTGCAAATGGGGTACAAACGCCCTGAGTCACTGGTCTCCTGATATTTGGAGCAGCCAGAGGGGGTCTGGGTGGCTGCAGCTCCGTGGCTGGTCGCCTCTGACCATATGCTGCCACATCTGTGTATCACACATCCACGTGAGCCACATCAGAGAGAAGGCTGGGAAGCAACGGCTCGGTTACTGACTTTTACAAATGGGAAGGTTTCACGTGAGGATCTGGATTCCTGGACTCCCCTGAAATGTTAAGGATCTGGCCAACACCCTTGCAGCCTCAGCCTGCCCTGTGTGTCCTCTACATAACCGGCAGCGTGGGCATCTGAGCCTCTGAGCTGGGCAGGCGCAGAGTGGAACCTGCCCCAGTCTCGGCCTCCACAAGCCAAGCCCTGCTGGGTCCTGGACCTCTTGGCCCCCGTGCTTCCTGCACTTACAGAGGTCGCTTCCACAGCGTCCTCCTCTTCCGCCTCGTCCCTGCCGTCTTCAATCTCCTCCATCACCTCGGCCTTGGCCTCGGCCACCAGCTCCCGCAGAGCCTTGTTATTGGTGATGCTGCTGACGAACGGGTGCTGAGGAGCAGACACACATCTGTGTTAGAACAGCAGCTGGGGAGCCGGTCCCCAGGGAAGGGAAGGCCAGATGTGGCCACGTACAAGGCATGAATGCGAACCTGAAGAGGGGAACCCAGAGGCAGCTTGGGAGTCTTGTGTGTGGTGGAAAGAAGGCAAGACCCAGCTCTTCTGCTCACCAGCCGTGTGACCCTGAGCATGTCACTTAATCCGTCTGAGCCTGAAGTGCAGACAGCCCCAGTGCCACAGGTAGGTCGCAAAGATGAAATAAGAGAATGCACACGACAGCTCCGAGGGCAGAGCCGGAGCTCAAGCAATGCGTATTTGTTTTTCCTTTTAAAAGGTTTTGATGTATAGTTTTATAAATATGCCACATATATATTTTATTGAGTTATAATTTACATGCAATAAAGCTCATGAATTGTTAAGACTGCTAGCTTTCCATATTTATCCAACACTCGGGTAAAGATATAGGAGATTTCAAGCAGGCCTGGTGGTGCACACCTGTAATCCCAGTACTGAGGGAGGCTGAAGCAGGAGGATCACAAGTTTGAGCCCAGCCTGGAAACTTACCAAGACCTTGTCTTAAAATAACAAACAAACAGGGTTGCAGATGTAGCTTAGCGCAAAAACTAATCCAGCACTGCCCCAGTACTGCCAAGAAAAGATACAGAAAGTTCCCTGGCCTCAGCTTGCACACACCCACTCCCTCACTGCTGATCTCCAGAGAGGAGTTCTGCCTGCCCTTCTCTTCCTGAGCACAGGGTCACAGTGCACTATCAGCTCTCTTGCTGAACTGTCTTGGTTACTTCTCTTGTTGCCCAGAGAAAATACCCAACATACAAAGTTATGGAGGAAAGGTTCATTTAGCTCACAGTTTGTAGACGTTTCAGTCCACAATCAGCAAGCTCCAAGGCAGGGTGGCATCACGGAGGAGAAACAATGCATGGTGGGCAGAAGGCAGGAGGAGAAGCAAGGGATGACCACAGCTCTTTCTATCCCTTGCATCTTTATCCAGAATCAATCCCAGCATCACACACTCTAGATCCAGCCACCTCTGAAAAAACTGCACCTCTGAATGCATGAGGCTTTGGGGGGACATCTAGACCCAAGCCGGAACAATCATGTTTGGGGGATTCAACCCCATTGTCAGGTGCTCTGGTAAACTGGTGCACACACACGTGTGTGCATGTGTGTGTGCGTGCACGTGTGCACTGCTTGTGATTGATCCCAGGGAGTTGGGCACACTGAGGAGGAAATCACTGGCTCTACCAATGAGCTCCGCCCCGGCCAGCTGTTCTTTTCTTATACTGCATGAGTGTTTTAGTTTGTTTAGTCATTTTGCCGCCAGTGACTCATGGGTCATTTACCATTTCGGGGGACCCCAAGTGAAGCTGTGGGAACAGTGGTTTACATCATGTCACTTTTGGATGGACACATGTGCTTGATTTTAACAAAAGGAACGCGAAATCTTGAGAGTGGTGTATGTTCCATTCTAAACATTCGCAGAAATGGCCCAGTTTTAAAAAAAGAGAATGCAAAGGCGTGAGGGACGTTAGATCCACACAGGCACCCCGGGTGGGTAGAAGTCCAAGTTTAGGCACCTTAGCCTAGCACGAGAGTGGTCGGGACGTGGGACTCCTCCATCCGCCCCTCACCCAGGGCCACAGGGAAAGGAACGTCAGAGTGAGAGATGGGGGAGTCACGAAATTGGAATTTGCTCATTTGAAATTTTATAAGGAGGCTCTGCTGAAATGTACTGCTTTACTATCAGAAATTTTATCAGCAGAACAGTGTCAACAAGATTGCTGGGGAAGTTTGTATGATTAAAGGATACATTTCTCTCCTTTAAAAACACACTGAGAACTGGTATTTTCACCGTAAATCATTCTTATCTGTGTGTTCATTTAAAAGTTCTCGGGCTGGGAATGTGGTCTGTGGGAGAGTCCTTGCCCATGCTCCCAGCCCTGGGTTCCATTCCTAGCACCATAAATGCAAAAAAAAAAAGCATAAATAAAGCAAAAGTTTATTTGTGGAATACGGCCAGGTAACACCCTCTTCAACTTGCTCACCTGAGAGCCGTAAAAGTCACTGCTTTTAAACAGCTCTGTCATTCACCTTTTCCTAAACCAGTCTAGTTTTCTCTAGTTCATCCAAACTAGTTAAGACTTTGTGAATTTATTTTCTTGCTTTCTCTCTTTCCCATTTTCGACACAGACGCACACTGAGGCCAGCAATGTGGCAAGTGCCAGGTGCCGAGATAAGCCCGTGATGGAATGGGCAGTGGAAGGCACAGAACCACACGATCAGTAAGGCTGTGGTGGAGGTCCCATAAGTCTGGGCTGGCACCAGGCACTTCCCTAAGGAGGTGGCAGCAAGCTCAGACCTGAGGGATCCTCAGGGATGGAGCAGGGAGTGGCCTGTACACAGTTCCAGGGAGCAAGAGCAGCACATGCAAAGGCCCTGAGGTAGGAGTGGGCACAGTGTGCTAGGCCAGGTTTAGGGAGAAGGCAGGATAGGAAGAAGAGGGATGGTCAGTGTACCATGCAGGGCCCTGTGCCCCAGTGACAACTTGAGACTTTATTCTCATAAGCCGCCATTGCCCATTAAAGATGTCATGCTGGCTGTTGTGTTGTTTCAAGAGGTCTTGAGTGGGTGTTGGTAAGGGTTTACTAATCACAGGAGGCACAGCCAGTCCACCCAGGGACAAATCCTGCGTCCACTAGTACCGTAGGCAAGTCATGAAACCTCTCTGAGCCTGTTTTTCATGGGTATAGTAAAATCAAGGTCACGGCTATTCTAAGTATCAGAAGATGTGCTCAAAAGAGGGCAGTGACCACATTATCACCACTGTCACCGTCACCACCACTCCCACCATCCACCGGTCTCTGTCACCACTCTCATCCCAGGACCTCCAGCAGCAGGAGCAGCAGCACGATCCAGGAGGCCCCTTTCCAGCTGCCAGCACAGCACAGCTTTTGGTAGGGGGGGCGAGGCCGAAACCCAAGACACCAGCGGTTCCCGAGCTCCACTCTATGTGACTGCACACGTGGGACTCTGAGCAAGGCACCCAGGGATGCGTCACTGCAGCAGGTGAAGCAGACATGGCGGAAACGAACAGCACAGTGCAGGCTTCAGGAAATACCAAGTCTGCACCAGCGCGCTCCACAGCCTGACCGAATTAGTCGCCCCTTGCCATGGCCAGAAGCCTCACCTTCTGCAGACAGAACCTGTCCGTCTTGAACACCACAGTCCCTGAGAGGCGCAGAGACGCAGGAGATACAGCCATGGATGGGACAGCAAGCAGGGCACTCCTGAGACACCAAGGCGGGACACAGGCCTGGGACACAGCACCGATGGCCAGGGCCCCACACTGTACTGGCTCCCCTGCCCCAGAAGTGCTCAGGGAAGCCTCTCCCCCCAGCCCCCATGGCAGAAAGGCCCCTTACAGAGACAGTTTCCGGGCAATGCCATGAGGGAAGGAGGGCACCTTTCCAGATGACCACCTGGGCCGGTCCACAGGAGGAGGGGTGGCTGCTCACGGCCACCGCCACTGGAACCCCCAAGGTGCCAAGATGGGGGTGGCACCACATGGCATGCCAACCGGCCTGGCCCCTGGGCCAGGAACTCTCCTGCCAACTAAATACACACCCTTTTAAAGAATTTTAGCCTATTTTCAATTTTCCCTGAGTGCTCAGAAATCACCAGCCAGGGCCCTTAATACTCCAAGACTGGCTTCAGAAAAACATTTCACGGGGCTCTCAGGGTTTCAGGCACCAGCACTTTTCCTTCAATCCTCTCTCCCGCCCAATGCTCCTCTCGCCTGCTCTTTCTTTACCATTTCGTCTTTCTCTCCTTTATGGTTTTGTTTTTGTTTGGCTTGGTTTTGTTTGGTACTAGGGATCAAACTCGACCTTGCACTTGCGAGGCAGCCAGTGGCACCAGAGAGCTAAATCCCCGGCCCTCCTTTATTCCCTTATTCCTTTACTCCTTTATTTCTGAAGAGGTGGCTTACCAGAGTCGGTAACACACAGACTTTGGAACCAAACCACCAGGATCACAACCCTAGCTGCCTTTAGGGGAGGTTTCTCTGGGAAGAGCTTTCTAGGCAGAGCAGACAGCCAGTGCAAAGGCCCTGCAGCAGAAGCGTGCCTAGTGTGCTGGAAGAATAAGACAGCCAGGGTGGCTGGAGCACGTGAGGGTGAGATGGGGACCGGAGGTCAGTAGAGGGGGCAAGTCACAGCCTCACAGGTCACAGAGGCTCTGCACTTGACCCTGAGTGGGACAGAAGCCACTCGGGAGCGTGGATGGGAAGGACATGAACTGACTCATGTTCCCAAGCTTTCCTCTGCCTATGCTAAGGACAGGCGGAGAGATGGGCGAGGGACCAGGAGGAAGCCACCCTGAAGTGACCCGTGATGGCAGCTCAGACCGTGTCAGTCACGGAGGAGGTGGGGAGTGGGCAGATTTCAGATTCCTGCCCGAATGGACACGAGCAGGAGAGAGAAGGCAAGGATGCCTGCAGGGTCTGGGGCCCGAGCTGGAGAGGCGTGAAGCTTCTGCAGAGAGCGGGACGGCCACCATCAGTCTGAGACACCACCTGGACCCAAGGCGAGACAGAGATAAACACGGCTCCAGGGCCTGGAGGAGGGGAGGGACCCAGGCCGAGGGAGGATGAGAGGCCACAGGCGAGAGGCACACGGCCGGCTGTCAGTCAGCTGGGGTGAGGAGAAGCAGGAGGAGGGGACCGAGTGCACGCGTGGCCTGGAGGTCGCCTGTGCTGATGCTGCTCACAGCCCCGAGGACCAGAGCCCAGGCCTGAGCTGGCTACAGGGTCCAGCCACACCAAAATCAGAGACGCCCCTGGCCAGGCCAGTTGTGAGAGGGTGAGTCCCAGAACATTCAGCAAGCACCTCCGCCACCTCCTGAGTGACAGAATCACACTCGCCAGCACTACTGTGAGGCCAGTGCTGTCCATGTCCTAGATCCAGGGCAGGCCTGCCTGATGTCAGAGCCCGGTCACTACGGACTGCGGGGTACCGATCCAAAGAGCACTGTGCAAGTGAACGAGTGAAGCAGAAACCCCTGGGGGCCTGAGACCCTCAGCCCACAGCGCATGGGGACAGACGAGCCAGGCCAAGCGACCCTGGGCAAGTCACCGCCGCTCCCTACCCCTCCGGGGTAAATGTTCCCGCCCGCCCTAACAGGAAACAGCAAGGCACAGGACAGGCTGGAGGTGGAACAGGCTCTGAAGGTGTCTCATTGTTCTGGAGAGAGCTCTGTTCTCTTCTGCACTGTCTGCCGCCCGCTGAGTCCCCTGGCAGGACATTTTTCCAACTATGGAGTGGAAATTCCTGGCTCAGGCTGAGGCCCCGGGGCTGCTGAGTGGGCTGAGGACAGCTGGCCTCTTCCCTGTGGAATGTCCTGCATGCCGGATGCATCGGGCAGGAGGAGCCAGCTCGCAGGAAACATTTGGCCCCGAGTGGCTTGGAGCTTTGGCATCTGACAGTGACAGCAGCCTCCACCCCCAGCGAGTACCACAACAGAAAATGAGGCTGTCTGGAACTCCAGATATTTGCTTTTAAGCAGATTGCAGAAACTTAAAAGGAACAATAGGGACCTTCTAACAAACAGGCCCCATTCTGCATCCTGGATCCTTTTCATTTTTAAGTAATAAGTTCTCTACATCAAACCCTCCAGTGATTAACAGTTAAGCTAAGTGACTGACAGTATCTTCTCATTTAATGCTTATAACCACTCTGTGTGGGGGCCATTGCTATTAATCCCCACTTCAGCGCAGGAACCAAGGCACAGAGAGGTCAAGCCACCAGAACAAAATTTCACAGCCAGTAAGACACAGAACCTGGATTTGAACCCAGGACTTGCCAACCCCAGTTCATATGCTATGGTTTGGGTCTGGATGTCCTCCCAAAGCCTCACTGGGTCAGAGGTGGCTGAATCTAGAGTGTGTGATGCTGGGATTAAAGCACTACACGTGAGTGGTTTGGCAGTAATAGTCTGGATGGGGTAAGAGAGGCAGAAAGACGTGGCAAAGCTCTCTCCCTTGTTGTCTTTGCTACCTGTGTGCACCACACAGTTTCTCCTGTGCGACACCCATTTGCCATCCCTGCCTCAGAGCCAGCCAATTACGGGCTGAAACCTCCAAGAACTGAAGCCAAACACATCATAGCTGTAGCCACTAAGACGCTCACAGCCAAAAGGATGTGTTCTAAGCCCAAATGTCAGGAAATCTCAGGCCCAGTGCTTGACACTCAGTAGGCAGCTGGGTGGATTTGGGAGAAGGCTTTCATCCAGGTGACCAGAGCAGGCCAGGCAGTGGAGCGGCAGGACCTCTGTGTCACCTAGGCCCACTCCCTCTCTGTCTTCCACCACTGGGGCTCACCCCAGAAGCTGCAGCCCTGGCCGGGGGAAAGGCAGCTCACAGCTGTATTTAAAAGACCCAAGGACACAGCCCTCTTCCCCATGCTGGGGCTATGTGGCCAGCTAACGTGACACTCAGGTCCCCCAGTTCCACACATGGCACCCACTGGGTCCCATGTAAGGTCAGACGCTTTCTCTCTTTTGCACAAGCCCAAATCCCATGTAGCCACTCACGTGCCATGCCGTGGGCCTCCAGAGGACAGACGGGAGGAGGGCGCGGGCGGCCCCGGGAGAGGGGTGCACTCACCTCCAGCAGCTGGGCAGCACTGGGCCGGGTCTCCGGGTTCTTATCCAGGGTTACCTTCAGGAAGTCTCGGAACTCCGCTGACCTGCGAGCACAGGCGTCCACAGCGGGCTCAGGGCGAGTAGGAGGGCGAGACAGCCCCCCCATGGCACAGACTCTGATGAATCACCCCTCCAGGGACAAAGAGCGCCTTCATGGGCTAAAACGGTGGAGGTGGCAGGGCCTACACAATGCCCTCTCCTCCTGGAAATCACTGTCAGCTGGCGGCTTGGAAATCCCCGCAGAGCAGGGACCTGCCAGGGCCATCAAGTGAACAGCACTGATGGGTGGGATTTGAACCCAAGCCTCCTCTTCCCAGCTCAGGGGGCTGCTAGGGCTTGGCTTGGGCTCTCCGGCCCAAAGCACAGAGAGAAGAGCAGGGAGCTCAGGAAGGCCCAGAGCCTGGATCCTGCCTCCCTCAGCAGACCCCAGCCCAGGGCAGGTCCCCCGCTCCTCACCACTTGGAGGGTGCGAGCAGTGTGGGAGGGTCTGACTTGGCGATCTTGAGCAGCACCCGCATGGGGTTGAGCTCATGGTGCGGGGGCTCGATCTGCGCCATCTCAATCAGCGTGATGCCCAGGGACCAGATGTCAGCTTTGTAGTCGTATGGCGTGTCCTTCATGGTCTCACAGAGCACCACCTCAGGGGCCATCCTGAACCAAGCAAGGAACAAGAGGGCTGAGCACCTGGCCTCCACAGGAGCTTCTCAACGATGCTGGGTCGAGGACCACCACCAGCCCGTGTCAGGGGTCGGCAGCACTCCCCACCCGGGATTTGGATTACTTGACGTCCCACTGTCTTCCTTAGACCTTCTGTCTTCACCTTTACTGGGGCGCCGCCGGGCCTGCTGCAGTTCCCAAGGCCTACCACCAGGTGGCGGCAGCGATCCAGAACACAGAGCCCTGGGG